AAAATCTATATCCGGGGCCCCAGCCAATGGCATAGTGGCTGGAATCCCATGTAGTCAACCACTGTTTGAGTCCCAGACCCGGCGGCTTAGAACTCACACAGGGCGCGTGTGTGTACGCCCCAAATACTGGGAAGAAAATGGAGAAGGGATTGTGGCGTGGCCATCACCCCTGGAGGGTGAATCCTCACTTTCTGTCTCTCTGTCTCTCTGGCAAGGGCATGTGCCCTTATAGCAAAAATCTCTCTTAAAAAAAAAATCCATACACTGACTTTGCTGGCAGCCGCCCACTCCCCTGAGAGCACATTGCAATGTACAAGTCTTGAATAAAACACATGTTGGTGGCTGACCGGTCATCTCATTGAACGAGAGACACAAATCTCTGTAAACTACACAGGAGTGACAGATGCACCTGTCGCTTGCAGCTTGCCTTCAAATAGATGTCTCTTTTGACCAGGTCCAGCACTGCCACGGGGAAGGAGGCACACGGCCTGCAAGGGTGCCCTTCAAGCTTCTGGTCATGTTTTGGCCAGTGGGTCAAACACCTGCAATGTCGTCCTCTTGTCCTTATCACTTACTGTCACCCAGTGACCGAAGGTGTTTGGACCCTGGTTGGGAGGCAGCTCCACCGCGGCAGCTGCAGTGTAGACCTGCACCGGCTCCGGGGCCCTCTCAAGGCTGTTAGTCCTTGTGTCCAAAGGGTCAGCGCTCTTGGAGAGCCAGGCATCACTCAACAGTTTAGGGTGGTGGAGAAGGTTCCAGAAAGGATCCTGATAATCACCAAGAAGAGAGGCTGCCTCTGACGTGATCACTTTGGTGCCCTCGGTTTCAGGGCTTATAGCAGATGACGTGCCAAGAATATCCCCTGGTGGAAATAGTGCACCAGCATCAAGCTGGGGTCTGCAGGGACAGGCATGGCCATCGCCACCGCCTACGCCACCACCGCAGTTATCGCCGATGCCACTGCCACAGCACGTGAGCCCCTGGAGAAGCTGGCTGTGGCTCTGCAGGACCTGCAGGTGGAAGGCTGCTGGTGCTGACTTCTTCCTCCTTGGGGGGACCTTGGGCACAAGAGAAGGAGCCTCTGGAGGTGGCGGCATGGTGGCTCTTGCCACAGGAGAGTCCCCATCTGGTGCTGGCTTTCCTCCGTCTGGGTTCCTCTCTGCACCTTTCCCAGACTGAAATGTTCTCGGTTTGGGAACAGGAGGGGCTGGAAGGGCTGTTTCTGGAGGAGGAGTTTCAAGGCTCGCCTCCGGGGGCCCGATTGTAAAACGCACCATCTCCTGCTCGCTCTGTTCCTCTGGTGACACGGGCTGTGGAGAGGCGGGACAAAGGCGTGTAAATGAGAAGTGAGTAATGAGGCAGCAGAGAACCCTCAGCGATCAGCAGGCGAGCGGAGATGAGACCAAGCTGACATTCTAGCAAATTCGAGGTCTGAGAATGTCTGCGATGTTGGAAATGTGACCAGGTAGGAAAAAGCACAGGGAAACACACAAGCTTATGGAGTCAGACCAGCACACCCGATGAAAGAGGAGGGCACTTTTTAAAACCAGGGCCTCGACCAATTTTTGTTATCTTAGGAAACGGGCTTCTGCTTTTCCTTTGGTAAAAGTGAATCTTTCTGAGAGAACTTTCCTTTGAGGCTGCATTTCCAGCTGATGATGCTGAAGTAACTCATGTTACAGCTAACTCAAGTTAGTCGAGTGAATAATAGATACACCCCCCCCCCCTTTTTTTTTTTTTTAGTTTTCTCTGTCTTTGTTTTTCAGTTTTTTTTTTTTTTTTGCTATAGGGCATTTGCCAGAGAGGGAAACGAAAAGTGAGAAATCACTTCCCAGGGGGGACGGTCTGTAATATGTAAATATAGAAGAATGGAAAACTACACAGGGACTTCCTTGGTTGGGATTCCAAACTGTCACAAAGAAACTGCTCAGTGAGGTGAAGCTCTGTGCACAGACGGCCAGCAGGAGGTAAGCACTGGCATTTCAGCATTCCTTTCACTTCTTTAGAAAACAAACTAAAAAAGAAAAGTCCCTTCTCCAATAGCCTTTTCCCAGAACTCCCGGGGAGCAACAGGCTGGGAGAAGAAATGCATTTCTGCCACTGGCTTTTAAAAGACCAGACAAGGCCAGTTCTGGCAAAGGGGGGGGAAGAGGGTCTGTTCTGTAGGAGGGCACGAACAGGCAGATGGCGGGAGTCACAGTGGGTCAGAAGAACACAGGGAATGCAGGCGAGCCCGGCAGGGTGAGGCCGGAGCAAACGCAGCAGGCGAGGGATTACCGGTGTCCCGGGACTACAACACTGGGATCAAACGGAAGATCCAGAGGTGTCTACAGATGCCAATCTTTGGGCTGCTACTGTCCTGACAAACTCATGTCTTTGAAGCAGTAAGCAAGGCTGAGAAGCTGGAGAGCGAGAGCAAAATACAATCTGCAAGAAAAAGTGGCAAGAAAAGCTGTGGCCCCTGCCGTGACCCGGGGCCACGCCAGAGGGCCTTGAGGTCACGAATCTAGGAACCCATTACAGTTTTTCTATCATAGATAAAACCTGACTTGTGAAACCATGACCAGATACACACAGGCACCCCAGAACACCCGGGCAACCACACCCCGAGGTTCCCTTGGGGGACACAGCATTCAGGAAGCAGGCCGCCTCCAAGCTGCTCTGGTGCCAGCCAGACTGCCGAGACGAGATCTGGCCGTTCGGCTCACCCAGAGCCAACGGGCAGCGGGGCAGAGGCAGAAAGCAGTTGCCAAGCATTTTCCGCAAAGCCACAGCTGCGTCCAGGGCTTGCGAAGGTGTGGAGAGACCATTTTTGACTAGGTTTTGGTCTGAGACACGATCCTTACCTAAGACATTCGAGCAACTCCAGAGTAAGAAATTTATGCTACCAAGTCTTACCTTTCCCGTCCTTCTCAGAGCTGGCTTCTTGATGGCAGGAACTCTGGGTGCGGGCCGACGGGGCAGGAGTGTGGGCACCTGGCAGGTCTCTGACTTGGTCACACCAGGTGTGGGCTCTGCCCTGGAGGGTCCTGGGTTCTTAGGGGCCATAGCAGCTAGGGTTTCTTCTGGGGCACCTGGAAATTCCAAGGCTGAAGTATAAGAACAGGACAGTTGTCTGCATGACTTCATCTTCAGACAGAATACATTGTAGAGAAAACTAACTCAGTGTATTCTCTTTGTTCTAAAAAAAATATTTAAGGCTTGTCTAGACCAACCAGCTAGGTTCTGCCCTGGCTTTTCATGCCATCTTCTCAATAGGTCTGGTGACCTGGGGCCTAGGGGTGGTCCCGGAGGGGGCTCAGTGAGGCCCTGGCATCGCAAGCAGAGTTTCACGGGTACCATCTCTCAGAGTAGATGATCTCAAACCCATGAAAACTTCAACGACCTGTGACCAGGAAAACGTGAAGTTGGGACGAATAGAGTGCAAACTTCAAGTCTCTAGTAATGTCCACATTTTGAGAATTTAAAAACAAAAGAAATCTCAGTTAAGATGTTACTAATGGGACCAGCAGATGGCGAAATGGTTATGTCGCTGACTCCCATATAGCCGACCATGGGAATCAACTCCTGGACCTGGTGGCTTAACACTCCCCCTGGGCATGTGTGCGTGTGTACCTAAAATCCCAAGGGGAGAATGGAGAGGGGATTTCAATGTGGCTGTCTCCCCAGGGGATGATGTCTCACTTTCTGTCTCTCTGTCTCTCTGGCAAGTGCACGTGCCCTATAGCCCCCCAAAAAAAAAAAAAAAAAAAAGGCCCTAAAAGTCACCTTTGTAAGTACGTGGTGTTGGGTATACTCGCAGGGCCGTAGAACCATCACCGCTCTGCAGTTCCAGAACAGCTTCATTAAACCGAAAAGAAAGCCCCAGCCATTATCCTCCTCCCAGCCCCCAGAGACCACGCACAACTTCCTGACGCCATGGAGTTGCCTGCCCTGGACACTTCACACAAGGGAATCAGACAATACGCGGCCTTTTCCTTGCCTGGGAGGAAGCAAAATGCTTCACCTAGCATAATGTTCTCAAGATTCGCCCATCAAGTCATGTCTCAATACTTTATTTTTGCAGCCACGAATGTACCGCATTTTGTGTATGTGTCAGTTAGACACTTGGGTTGTTAAATCCATTGTTATAGTTTTTGTTTGTTTGTTTGTTTGGTTTTTTAAATAAAAAAAGCAATCGATTGTAGTGGCATTACCCTGCAACAGTGTGTCTCAACCTCTAACTCATGTCCTCTTTAAATGCTATCTGAGAATTCCAAGTAAATTAAATATGCTGGTAACAGCAAATTAGGCGACTATAAGTGCATATGCCTTTCTAAAGGGCATGAATTTCCCTCTGCAGAAAATGTTTTAGAACAAAGCTAAACCCAACAAAGGTACCAGCGACCATGGATGAATGGGCAAGATTCCAGGGGAGGTGGGGGCCCGTCCCCTCTCGTTTTCCCTCTGTCCTTCTCTGGCCAGTGCGAGGCTTAACAAAGTAAAAACAATTAACAGTCAGCCTTGGCTAGCAAGTGGCATGATGGTTAAGGCGGCTGGATCTCACATGGATGACTGTGAGGTCCAGTGCCTTGAAAGATATCCTGCGTATGGGACCAGCAGTTGGCGTAATAGCTATGTCACTGGACTCCCATGTAGTCAACTGAGGTTTGAGTCCTGGACCCAGTGGCTTAAACTCATGCCAGGCATGTGTGTGTGCGTGCCCAAGATCCTGAGAGGAGAATGGAGGAGGGGATTGTGGCGTGGCCATCCCCCCTGGGGGGTGATTTCTCGCTTTCTGTCTCTCTGTCTCTGTCTTCTGGCGAATGCACGCGCCCTATAGCAAAAACCTCTCCAAAAAAAGAAAAAAGAATAATATCCTGGGTATATGTGCATGTGTGCCCAAAAAATCTCGAAAAGAGAAATGGAGAAGGGATTGTGGTGTTGTTATTCCCCATGGGGTAGGGGGTGTTTTCTCACATCCCTTCTCTCTGTCCCTCCAGTAAGTGCACATGCCTGCTAGACCAGGCAGCATGGTGAACAGGTCTGTGCCTGACAGTGGAGAATGTTCTTACAGTAGCTAGGGGTGAAAAAGGTAGATTTTTGGGCCTGATATGAAGACACAGATCGTAATTGTTTCTTACAGAACTAGCAGAATGAGTGGGCGCCTCCAGCATCTGCTGCTTCAGAAATCCATTTTTGTTTATTTCAGCCTCTCCCTTAAAGCTACTTATTCATCTTGGGATTATCTTTATATACTTACTGAATTTCAAATATATTATATAATTAAAAATAAACAGTAAGTCTTAGTCATGGAATTACATAAAATGTGGGTACTTTCATTTAATACTGCCTCCAGAAAAATCTGAAAAAAAAAATGTTCTTTTCTAGGCCACTTTTAGTAGGAAGATGAAAATAAAAGGAGAATCGGTTTCCTCCTCTGTCAGGGAGGAGTGTGCCAAGGGGCCACCTACCTCCTCTGGCTTCCAGGAGGCATCGGATGGCTGCTTCCGCCTCCTGAGCATTGGTGGTTTTGATCTGCTTGACGTTGTAAGGCTTACTGATCCCAGTCCTGGCTTTGGGCTTGAGGACAGCACAGGAAAAGTAGCATGTTAGTATGGGCAGGGGCAGCCTCCATGGTGGTCACTACTTACGGTCGTATGAGAGCGTGAGACTTACAGGGCTCCACAGATGGCGAGAACACGAGTTCCCATCTACACCGCAACCCCACCCCCATCCCAGGAGGAGGAACTCAGAGCAGATGACCCTGCCTCCCACCAGTGTCTACGGCTTTTGCGGTGTGGACGACCCATCCACTACCTTTACCCTCATGATCAGGGAAAAGCCGGAAAGCAGACTCAGGCTGGCCCTCCTGTGGCCTCACTGAGTCACCAAACACCTTCCAGTTGCAGGTCCCTCCGACGTGCTTTCTCTGCCTCGTAACCCAGTGCTCGGGCGTCTTTAACAACCTGCCCTTGTTACTGTAAACCAGTGGCGTCTAGCCAGCACCTCCACCTGCATGACTGCACAGGCACCTGGCCTGGCCCTGCACTCTGGAGGACTGTGGGGTACCCTGGGCCTCACCCCACCTGGCTTCACTTCATTCACTCTACTCCACTGAGCCGCATCCACAGCCTTCCCTGGGAGCTCTCCGAAGCCCTGGGAGTCTTATGTCTACAACCCCACGTGACTGATAGTCTCACTGGTGACACACTCATCATTCGGGTCTACTAGGGCTTATCTCTGTCTTATTTGGGGGAGGTCAGGGAAGAAACCTGGCCTCCCACATGGCCTCAGCCTCCAGAGTGGAGGGGGCATGGCACTGTGGCCGAGGGTGTGGGTGCAATGCCACTGTGGCCAGGTCTTCGCCACTGTGGCCGGGTCTTTGCTACTGTGGCTGGGTCTTTGCCACCGTGGCTAGATCTGCACCATCGTGGCCAGGACTGCACCACCATGGCAGGGTCTGCCCACCGTGGCCAAGTCTATGCACCGTGGCTGGGTCTGTGCCACCATGGCCGGGTCCACTAGGCCTCTTTATAGCCTCTTATCTCAACTGACTTTATGCCAAAATAACTCTTTTTTTTTTTCCCAGGATGATGGCTCTGAATTTCCCTAGTTTTACCTTCTACCAACCAATGCTCTGTACAGCAATGGCAAAGGCAAGAATCCGAAGGCAGAGAAACAGATGAGTCTGGAAACCAGCAAGCCTACTTGACAGGAATGGGGCAATGTTTTGTCAGCAGCGATTTTCTCTAGAACACCTGGTAAAGCATTAGAAGTGCTAGGAATGACCTGCCACTACAGGCTGAGCGTCCCTAATCTGAAAATCTAGAAACCAAATGCTCTGGAACCTGACACTTTTTGAGCACTGACGCAATGCCACGAGTGGTGAGCTCCACATCCGAGCTCACATGGCAGGTCACCATTAGTGCCACATACAAAATATCGTGTAGCATTATCATCAGACCAGGACCAGCAGAGGGCGTAATAGTTACATCGCTCGACTCCCATGTAGTAGACCATGGTTCGAGTCCCAGACCTGATGGACTGAAACTCACACCAGGCGTGTGTGCTTGCACGCTCAAAATTCCCGAGAGGAGAATGGAGGAGAAGGGATTGCAGGATGGCCATCCCCCCTGGGGGGTGATTTCTCGCTTTCTATCTCTCTGTTTCTCTCTGGCGGGTACATGTGCCCTATAGCAAAAATTTTTCTTAAAAAAAAAAAAGATTATCATCAGGCCATGTACATATAACATACGTGTAACAGAAATGGATTTCGTGTTTCCGCTTGTGTCCTAGTCGCAAGGTATCATTATGTATGTGCAAATACTCAAAACTCTGAAAACAGCTGGTATCCAAAACACATCTAGCCCCAAGCATTTGAGTAAGGAACACTCAGCCTGGAGGAGTTACAGGTTGGGGACAAGGTGGTGAACAGGGAGAGGGTTAAGGGAGAACTATACAAGCCATAGAAGAGAGGCGATCCTCGCGATCCCGGCAGCACATTCCCGGCCTGGAGCGCCCACCCGCTTCCCTGGGAGCTGAATTCGGACTCACAGGCTGCTGAGGTGCTCCGGGCAGAAGTTTTGCTGTCTGCAAAATCGAATACTGGCCGTGGGTGCCAGAGGCGATGGACACGTCTGAGGCCGACTTTTTCACCATTAGCCCGGCTGTAAAACCAACGAGCAGAGCCTCAGTCTGAGTCACAACTTCCCAGCCAGCGGGGAGAAGCGGCTAGCGGAGGGCGCCAGCGCAGCAGGCCACAGGCATGGCTGGGGCGGCCCTACCGGGCTGGGCACTCGAGGGGCGGGGCTTGGCGGGAACCTCCAGGACCTTCTCCCGATTCTCTAACACCCTGTGCCTGTTAGTGTAGACCCTGTGGACAAGCATTATTCGAATGCATTTTTTAAAGCTTTATTTCCTTAGAGAAAGAGAAAAAGAGAGGAGACAGGACAGGCATCCCCAAAAGGCTCTTCTTTTTTTTTTCTTTCTTTCCTTTTTTTTTTTTTGGAGAGTTTTTTTGCTATAGGGTGCGTATGCTCGCCAGACAGAGACAGAGAGAAAACGAGAAAGCACCCCCCAGAGGTGATGGGTCACGCCGCAATCCCTTCTCCATTCTCCTCTCGGGATCTTGGGCACGCACGCACACGCGCCTGGCGTGAGTTTTAAGCCACCGGGTCCGGGATGTAAACCGCGGTCTACTACGTGGGAGTCCAGCAACATAGCCATTACGCTAACTGCTGGTTCCCGCCCGACAGGCTCTTCTATGATCCTCCCCGCACCCCTGCCAGCTCGCAGCACAGGTGTGACCAGAGTGTTCGGTAGACCGGGGCTATAGACCTGGAGCCTTCCCATCCCGCCTCCAGCATCGGGCAGTGGCAACCCTACTGCCTGTGCCCCCATGGCTAGGCCCAGACACAAATTCTAATAGAATATTCTAGGGTATTCCTATCTGGTATAAAAGCTTATGATTTTTAAATGGTTTAAAACCCACTACTATTATTAGGGCCAAATTTTTAAAACGTTTTGTGGAACGAAAATCTAAAAAAAGTTTCAAAGCAGGGGACTAAATTCTGCTTCGTTATACTCACAGTTTAATTCACACATGGTGTTTTAGACCATCTAACGACTCAGACCACAGGACACAGTGAATGAAAGAAAGACAAATAACTGAACAAAATAGGCAACCAACTGTGTAAAAAATAAAATGAAATAAATATTGTGTGTAGAGATACGTAGCTAGAAAAGCCGGGAATTTTGTTGATAACAACTATTCTCTGTAGATAGCCCAGTGAATTTTGTATCTTTCTTTTTTTATAGTTCTCTATTCTTATAAAATGTCCGTAATACTATATTTGCATAGAATAACGTATTTGTAATTTTATTTTTGGTTATTTTTACATTCGATTGTATTTTCTGAATATATGCTCAGAGAAGCAAAAATATGCTTAAAAGCCTAAGTGCTTCTGGCTCGCACAGATTACTGTTGTGCTTTAAGCCATGATCAAGTCAGCTCCGAAAGTGATGGTGCGGGAAGATCAAAGTCTCCTGCCACACGGGGGCTAGGGAAGTAGACGGTAGTGGGAGAATGGGAACTGTTCAGGAAAGCCTCCGGCCCGCTGCTCTTCAGGTGATCACAGCAAGTCTGACCGCAAAGCGCTGTTAGAGCTCAGGGCTCAGGACAGGTGTGGCCAGCTCTGAGCAATCAGGACCGGGAGGCCCACGCCGCGGAGCGAGGCCCCGGGTTGGAGGTGGCCCCTGGGTTTGCCAGCTGTCTGGGAAGTAGAGGGGTCTGGAGACGTCCTCACGGCTGTGGCCCCAAGGTCCCATTCTCTTAGGTCTCTAACCGAAAGGGCGTAAAGCCAAAGACAGCCACAGCAGAAGAACAGCGCCACAAGACCGTGTTCAGCCTGCGAGGAGAAACTCAACCCTCTCTGCTCTCCAGTGTGGCTTGGACTTAGGACAAAGAGGAGGCCAGGTGGGGAGAGCATCATGGGGTTCAGAGGCATGGCAGGTGACTCGGAGCCCCGGTAGCGGCAGTGGGATACAGGCAGCTGTCCCCAGTGGGTGAGGCGGCAAGCTGAAAGCAAGCCAGGTCTTACTTGGAGGGGGGGGTCTCTGCGGTGGGGGAGGGGGGCCGGGG